TCCTAAGTTAGGAATTCTAACGGAGGATGCTGCGCCGGACCCTCTCCACGAGGTCACATTTTAAATATTCACATCCACGCAACACCGGGTTTCTTGCTGTTTACGCCCGCACAATGGTAAACCCCTCAAGAAAAATTAACAAATTATCGCCCGTGGGTGCTAGCATCTCCCCGCAGCCTAAAGGTTTTGAGCCCATGAAGACCCCTCAGGACATCGAAGGCGGTGCGCTTCGTGCCGGCGGTGCCATAAACGTCTGGAGCCGCGAGTACATCGGTATCGTTGTGCAGAACGCTGCTGTGGGTATGATCTACGGTACTCTACCCGGCACCGTCTACCCTTTCCTTTTCAACTACTTGAACATGGAAAGCACCCAGGTGGTGTCGGCCACCGTGCTGCTCAACCTGCCGTGGTCATTCAAGCTCTTCTACGGTATCATTACGGACTGTGTGCCGATCATGGGTTATCGTCGTCGTCCGTTCATGATCATCGGTTGGACTCTGTGCTTCATCATGCTGCTAGTGATGGCGTGCATGAAGGCCGAAGACCCGTACTACCCAGAGTACGCCTACGCTTCGATGAACGTCACCACATTGTCGCCCGAGATCATCGCCTCCTTCAACACGGACGCACCCTCCACTGGCAGCAAGTTCATCGTTCTCATGATGCTTGCTGCTATCGGTTATGTTGGTGCTGACGTTGCTGCTGACGCCATGATGGTTGAATTTGCGCAGCGGGAGCCCGAAGCTACGCGTGGTTACACTCAGACTAGGATCACATGGTCCGCACTGTGTTTGTGACTATCTCCAGCATTTTGACTGGTTTCGCGTTCAACGGCACTCACTATGGTGGTGATTTCGACTTCTCATTGAGCTTCCCACAGCTCATGATCATTCTTACTGTCGCGTGTCTACCTGTTATGCCTCTCACGTGGTATTTCATTAAAGAGGAGAAGCATGAGGGTATGGTGTTTAGTACCTACCTAAAGGAGCTTTGGATCCTCATTCAGACGCGTCCGATGTACCAGGTCATTGCGTACAAGTTCTTCTCCGGCATTTTTGAAAGCTTCACGATCACTTCGTCGTCGGCCATGCAGGCCTACTGGGCTGGCGTCACACCGCTAAACGAGAAAATTCTTGCCGTTATTGGTAGCGGCATCTTCTCTCTTACCCTCTACCGCACGGGCAAGTATGGTCTCCACTGGAACTGGCGGTGGATGCACGCCACTATGGTCGTTGCTGTGACTGTGCTGGACTCTCTTGTGACGCTCCTCACAACGTGGGATGTCATTCGTAACCAGTGGTTCTGGCTGGGTGTTCCGGTCGAGGAAAACCTTCCGAGTGGTTTGGCTTTTGTCATTGGAACGTACGTGGTCGTGGAGCTGGCTGAGTACGGCAATGAGGGTGCCGTGTACGGTCTGGTTGGATCCGTCTCCAACCTCGCTATTCCTTTCGCCAGCACCATCACTAAGAATGTGGTGTGAGCTATAAAACTTACCTGCGTGTCGAGCGCCAGTGCATTGCAGTCTGCCAGTGTCCGGTGCCCCCATCTACGAGCCACCGTCCACTGCCAGTGTCTGCAAAGACACATCC